ATCACGAAAATACTTCAAATACGTCATAATTTATCGCGTCTACGTTCACAAAGTTTTCGAGATATCTCAAGTTTTGGCAGATTATTTACGCAATCACATTACACACTATTACACAATGGGTAAAAAAAGTTAGTTTCCACGTCTAATTACTCAGTAGAGCTTTAAATTACATTGTAATTTCTACACAATGAAAATTGTATTAGCGGTTCGGTGTGTATATGTATATATATGTATATATATACTCGCAACTAGTGTGTTCGCGTAAATGAGTCACGGTGCGTCTCGCTCTGCGCGTACTTGACGCGAGACACTACCGTGTCTCTTGATATAATCGCATTTTTTCCACTTTATCAAAGTTTCTTGTGATTGTAGTTCGAAGGTGGGAGATGAACAAAATAAAAAATCGGAAAATCGGGAGAAAAATTTATTAAACAAATGGCGAGTTTTAACCTTTGGCGAATCACCACAAAAATTAATTATTTTTATTTATACTGTAAATATAACGTTAGTTTTTTTTCGATAAAGGAAATTTTCGATAAAGCTCTTTGGAATTGTGTTGTTTTACCTAATGTTAAGCTCCGACGCGGAGTCTCTCATCGGGTTTAATACGCGCATTCGACCACACGCGTGTGAAAATCGCTTATCAAGATGATTGCACTTTCGTAAATTTTTAAATCCACCAAGATAATAAAAGATATTTAAATGTATAATATTTAATTGTATAAAAAAATTATATTTAATGCAAAAAACTTGGCGCTAGATCTCGGAATATAATGAGATATAATAAGATATAGTAAAAATTAATAAGGCAATAAAAACAAATAATGTTTCTAATTTAAACCTGAACATGACACACACGTATTGTACATTCTCATCATATTTATTCATTTATTTCACCGTACTTGATCTAGCAGCGTTCTTTTGCGAATTCAATTCGCATCTAGTTTGAAAACGCTCCGTTTCCTCGAAACGATCGCAATTATGGCATTGCGCCTCGGGAGATCATTCCAATATCATTACGCGATTGCAAGTCGAGGGCAATTGTAATCGGAGGCCTCCAAGGATTAGCAATTCAAAGCACGCGCAATTTATATTTTCCGCGGGTGCACGTATTAGCGAAGAAGACAATAGTGGAAATAGACGGAAGCAAGTGGAAACAGGTGATAAAACAGACGTATACACAGTTTAATAGTCATACAATCGTTCCCGTAGATACAAAATGCGTAAAAAAAATAGAAGAAATAAATATCAAAGAACCGGAAAAAGTTTCGCGGCGTAAAACGCGCTTTGACTGCCGATTACCTTTGCGTCGTGATTTTTCGTGTTTCACGGCAATTTCGCTCTTGACGTTACGTTCGGTGTGTACGCGCGAACAGGGAGCACTTCCGCCAGAAAGCAAAGGAGCCGAAGCCACGTACCGATCCGGCGCGGCGTGCGGCCGATCTTAAACGTCTGCGATGCGCATAGCAATCGCGTAGAGAGACCCGATCGTTATATGGCCCTCACACACTGAACGCGAAGAGCGATGAGTGACATCCAATGAGAGCTCTGCTTTTCAGGTGACACCCGAAAAAAGCAGAGCTCTCATTGGCTATCCCTCATCGCTCATCGCTCATCGCATCCAGTATGCGAGAGTTATTACGCGCGTGAATCGGCAGCGTATATATATTCATTACACGAGCCGAGTGTGCCGATCGAGATTAAAAACCGGTAATCTCGAGCAGAATTTCAAGTTGTCCCGGGCCGTTTCAATCAGCCGCGCGCGGCCACGCGCTGATTTTTTTATTTCTCCGGCGTTACATTCGGCGCGATGCTTTTACGACCTTCTTCTTTTCCTTCGTAGATTTCCGTCTCTTGAAGTCGCAGTACTCGCACGCTTTTACGATACGGCCCCGAGAGAATGCAACGCGCGCGAAGAAAGGGAGATTTTCTCGTGCGGCTTATTTTTGCGCGGCAAACAAACACATTTGAGCGAATCCTTATCAATGCGAATCGGTAGCGCTGCGGCAAGGAATTAGTAATCTGTGCGAAATTGTTATCGCGGAAAGCAACTCGCAGAACCGGTACACCAAGCCGATACGGATCATGATAGGCTGAGCAATCATTAATGTCAGATAATATTATTACTGGCGGAGACGTGCTTGATAATTGCGGTACACTGTCGCGACTGTGAAGGTAAGTTTCGTGTTACGAAAGAATTCGACGAGAATAATAGCGCAAGAAGAAGTACTGAAGTTAAATTTGAAACGTCGTGAAAAATTTACGGTACCAACGAAGGTTCGAACGTCCCGTCTTGTCCGAAGATAGAGAGACGATTGAAAAAAGTAGCAGGGGAAATTATTATCGATAATCGATGAGGAAGATACGATGGGTCAGATGGGTGCAGCGTTTCCGTTCCGGGATGGATAAAAGTTGTGACGTAACGCTATTGTGAATTCATCCGATTTAAATGTGCAATGTTACATGTTAATCTCAACATCTCGAGTACTCGCAATTCCGTCCCGACGCGTAAATGAGTCACGGTCGGTCTCGCTCCGCGCGTACTTGGCGCGAGACACTGCCGTGTCTCTTGATTAAATTTACATTATTCTAAACATATATTTATTTATATTATTATATTTGCGTTATTTTTACTTCAATATATATTTATTCATTATCCCAACTTCGAGCGTATATAACAATAATTGTGTTTTTTTTAATATGAAGATAAAATTCACCATTATTATTTTGTGCTTCAATATGCTAGTTATAAATTTCTATAGTAAAGTGCCTCTCGAAGTAATGTTGATTTAATTCACCGGAAAAAATCCTTCAACGTCCAATATTAAGTGTTTCCGTAATTAGGCCTCCCCTAAAATACGCGCCAAGAAGAAATCAATTTCGCAAGGTCGCTGAAAATTTTACACAGGCCGACATGAGGGAAAGGCGCAAAACCTTTAGAACACTTAGTACAACAATTCGGATACTTTCGAATAATCGTGCGCGCTTGATCGAACAGGTATTGTACCCGGGTCGCCTTCGACAGCGCGAGGAGAAAAAGCGCGGGAGAAAAAAAGAAACGGGTCTCTGGAAAAAAGAGTCTTGCGAAGAGAAGGACACCACGCGAGAGCGAGATATGTCAAGTCGGTCAGAACACTTCGTTTATTTATTCGGCGTTTCCTCGTTGTGCAACAATTCTAATCGCCAATTATCGTTGACGCGAACGCAAGCGTGGAGGGGAAAAAAAACAGCGGTAACAACGTCAACGTCGCCGTTTCGCACGTCAACGCGACGAACGAACAAACGAAACTGTCCTTTCGTCGTGCGAAAGTTTTCGCTCGTGTAATATGGATAGAAACTTTCCACTCTCGTGATCGGCTCATGATCGAATCCGTCGCGCAATCGCGAAGTCAAAAATATATCGAGTATGCAATGCAGACTTATTATTATCCCAGTCCTGCAATCGGTTCGTCGCTATAAAAAAAGATACGCATGTATAGCACGCTCTATGAGCGATTTTAATTGCTGCTCTAGCATAAACTATTTCGCGCATTGTCTCTAAAGTGTAATCCGTACAAATTGTTCTGTTACTATTCAATTAAAAAAAATAAAGAATGAGAATAATTGTAGCTTTTTTAATGCTTATCACGTTACAACTTTGCAATTAAAGTTGCAAAAACGGGCTACTTTAACTGTATTTTGGCACATTATGTGTGACGTGTTGAAGTAGTTTTTAAGAAAAAGAATTTTTCATTGAATAAATGTTATCGAAATAACTTTTAGCAATTTTTACTTATATTTGTTAGTATTATCTCTTCTTGCATTATGCATGCCCAGATAAACTTTCTCATATATACGCGTTAGACGTGTGCGCAGTGTCATCGCTACTTTATGTAAAATGAAATCCATATGTCGATTTTTGACGAAAGAAAAGAATGAAACGTGACAAATTGCAAGAAACATATGCTTTGTACGCAGAATTATTCTTTTTCCTATAAATCTAATGTCACATGAGTGTTACTGCTATGTTGTAGTATTTTAACATAAGCTCTTTTTTTTCAATTATCTTAACCCTAGACAAACTCACTTATTTTTCTCATACGTGAATGACTCACTGGAGTAATACGTTACCCCAAACTTGTACCGCGTGTATAATATTTCCAGAATGTTCTTAGAAAACTTTATAATAGATAATTTTGTTTGTTGTTTAATAAGGAAGACGATAGTAGTCATCAATTTGCGGTAGTAAAAAAAAAACAGTAAAAAAATTTCGAAAAACAAAACAAAAAACCAAAAATTTGGCTGATGCGAATTTGAATTTCGCGTGGGGTAACGTATTACCCCAGTGAGTCTGTCTAGGGTTAAAGAAACGTTGCCTCAAATTTGTTGTATGCAAGCCATTCTTACGATATAATTGCGAGGAAATTTGTAAAAATTGTTCTATTACATTACACTATGCGACATTGTGTTTAAAAGGCATAAACAAAGCAAGAAGCATATCTTATTTCGGAAAACTTAGTCCCTGTCATGACATACTTTTCTGTCATATATTTACACTCAAATTATATTTTTCTCAGAAAAAAATAGGTACTTATTATCTATTAAATTTGCATTTCTAACGTAGCTCCGTTTACGTCAGCTCCATTTCATTCCGCTGCTTTTACCGTCAAGAAAAGGAGAGAAGAGCGTGTGTTTACAATTTTATACCAGGAAGGTGTTCCGTTTACGCTAAGTGATTTCGAGGATAACGACCAACGGTGACGGTGAAGAAATAGAAGAATGTGTCGCGAGGGATACCCTCTCCCACTCCCACGGTTCTCCCCCCCCCTTTTCCCCGGGAGAATTCCGTGAGTGAATTGATAAGTTGTGTTCCAACAAATCAGTTACAGGAACTGTTGACGAACAGTTTAAATTTCTTTTCGATCGTGGTAAACACACGCGCTCACGTTTTTTAAATTTGATGAAATCTGCCCCTAACGAGAACCGACGTACACGACACTCGTGTGTGACTGTCCACTCACCGTGCTCGATGTAAATCCCAAATTATCGTGCGACATCCTGGTGGATGTACTGCTAGCTGTTGGCTGTCAAGTCACCGATGGGTTCTCGCATGCGACGGGCGCGCAACAGGGGTGTGAGTAAGAAGGTAAGAAGGTATCGGGTGGTAAGGGGAGATAAGACAAGAGCGATGGACGAAGCCAGGGGCGGGGGAGGGGAGGGGGTTGGTCAGACAGGAGCAGACAGTGAGTGAGATAAGAAGAGGCGCGAGAAGATACGTAGAGGGTCGGAGACGATTTAATCTCTGAAGGTCCGTTGCATTGTGCGACAGGTACGGCCGCTGCAAGTCGACTGGTCTGACTTAGCGCGAAGTATTATTTATATAGCATCGCGCCGCGGCGGTGTGTATGCCAGTCGGGCACCGCGGATACCGTTTCGTATCCGTATCGCTTCTCGGCGGGGCGCGCCGCGCCGTGGGGCGAGGGGGTAACTCCCGGCATGGCGGTGTGGGGTGTGTGTTCGCCACTCATTCAGAGCCGGCCGATTGACGCTGCCCGCGGCCTGCCGGTTCGCGCGGAACACGTGGTCGCACCTTGAGGTGGTGCGACCCGCGTGTCGTACGGCGCGGCGTCGAGGATTCCTCCGCGGCGCGATCGCCATCCGTCAAGGACGAGCGTTCAAGTCACCGCCGAATCGAGCTACCTACTTGCGTTCGCATTTCTGTGTGCGTGCGAGGGTAAAACGCTTGACAAGTGCTTTTTCTTATCTTACGCATAAGTTAGGATAAGAATAAGCATGACACTCCGCGCTTGCTTAATGAATCTGATTACAGTGCATTAACAGCATTCTTCTACTTTTTTTTTTAAGTCTAGGGCAACACTCCCTGTTTTTTTAGTCTTTAACACTTGTATTTGGCATTTCTAACGTACGCATAAGTAGGATAAGAATAAGCAATTAAGCGCGACATTTCGCGCTTGCTTAATAATGATTATAGTGCGTATTAACAGCACTTCTCTATTTTTTTTTTAATCTTTAAGTTTAAAAGAGCGGAGAAAATTAATTTCAATAGCAACACGAATTAAGTTACGTACAAGGATATTTCGCGCACTTGTCCTATATTAGACACGTTTCTTTTTTTGTATGTTTGTTATACAGAAAAGAATTTGAAGGATTTCTCCTTGAAGCAGTTAAATGTAAAAATGCAAATATATTTTAATGGTACATTAAATGTGTAACGTAAAAGGTATTAATTAAAGATTATTGATTTTACGATTACAGTTACGATTACTGCCAGGTGAATGAGCGATTACTGATTACCGATTAATTATTATTAATTTTCTTCCGCGCTTTACTTGATCATTATTGCTGAATGATTTAATGAAGTTAGACTCGCAGACTTAATAAGTATTACCTACTTTTATCGCAATAAAGATTATTTCAGATTATTTCAAAATATCGATAATCTCCTTCCTGTATTAAAGGTAAAAACTTTTATCAAGGTGTGTGATAAGCATCGCAATTGGCTAGTCTTCTTCCTGCCAAAAGCAGATTAAATCAAGATTAAATTTTTGTTAAAGAAATAAGATTACGCGTTTTGCGTCGCCAAACAACTTATCTCGCAAGTTTTACACGTACTTACGTTCCACTCTGCGCCTGCTGCGGTTTAGATAAATAATCGGTTTAACGTTACCTCTGTTTCCGGCGCACATCTAAATATTATCCTGGAGTTACGCAACAATCATTAATCTACGTTGACGTAGCTCTGCTTTATGGCAGGAGACAAATTGCATTCACATCCGGCGCGTATCACTTTCAATTTTTCAAAAAAGATACCCATCTCATTCTTCGCATTCTCGATCTAAAAACAAAACGAGAGGGAGAACGTGAAATATATTCTACGAAAAACTGAATACACGGTCAATATATAAACGTACGTATATAAATGCATACACGTACATTGACGTACGTATCAACTTATTTTTGGTTGTTGTAATTTCAAGATGAAAATATTTTACAGCAATTATTCGTTCGCGAAGAGTACATTTTTCTTTCGGCAACGACAATAAATCATACAAAACGATGTTGATGATTTCAGTTATCGATACAATCGCAATTTTTATCTCTCTAGTGCTGACATCGTTTAACGATAAAAAGATGTCGATTAAGGTTTTCTTTTACATACTGCGATATAGTTTCTTTATGCGAGCGTGCGCCAATTTAATCTCCAAACGTCCGTTGTTTTTAAATAAAAGCAAAATTGTAGAAACGGATAGGATTTTGGATTAGATCACCGATAAGTCATAACGCATCGCTCTGACAGCTCTTGACATTCTGAATCAAGATATCGAGTCTTGAAAAACATGCATGCTCGTCTGACTGAAACGTGACTGGAATGCCAATAATGGCCATTTAATTTATTTCACCTCCTTCTTTTTCTCTTCTCGCTCAAGCATACCTACTTGTGGAAAAAAAAAGGAGGAACGAGATCGGTATTCTTTCTGCAAATATTATTCATATTTAATTCGATAAGCCGTGGAGAAGAATTTATTCGTTGAAATGATAATCTCGCGCGAAAGCCGATATCTTGATTTATTTCGCGTGTTGCATTACACTGACGATAGAAATGTGACGAACGATTCGCAGTACGGAGGAGACGATCCGTGACGAAACGTGTGGAAAAGTACACCGATTCGGGAAAGCCGGGCATTCTCCCAACTGCCTTTCCCAAGTGGAGCGCGTGGACACGTCACGCGTAAATTATGCGTTATATATCAAACACTTCGGAATGCTTCTGGAAACGAACGGGTGAATCGATTTTACAGATCGAGTGTTCCGAGAAATGTTTGCGCAGACATTGAAATCAAACAATTACGTTTTTCGACCTAAATTTAAGCGGTGGCGAAGCGCCTTCGGTATCGACGGTGTCGGGGGGAATCGCGTTGTATACCTGGCGAAAACAACGGGTCCGCTTGAGAGTGCATGACGCTGCGCGACCATGAGTCTCGCGTGGGAGTAGCGGGTGAGGTCGATGAATCTCGTTGAATCACGGCCGTCCTGATAGTCCTCGCGGTTCACCTTCCAGACCCCGAGCATTGTCCCGAAGGCGCGGATCATCGCGTCGCCGCGCAAATCAAAAGAATCCGCCCCCGCCGTGCGTTGCGACCTGCGAAACGCGCCTGTCTTCATCTCGACCTGGATAGGTATAATATACGCTCGCGAAACGAATACGGCGATTCGCGGCATAAAGAATCGCTCTGAAGTTGGCGCTAGACAATGCGCGATTCGAGGTTCGTGATTCGCGGTTCGCCATTCGTATTAAGCAGGGTATAGGTATGTACACTTAGCGAACGAACACCGAACAAACAGCGAACGTAAACGTTTGTTGTCATTATTCAACAGAATAAAAAATTTCAAATTGCTACATGCAGCAAACACCGAATCTGGTCGAATTCTAGTATTTGATGCAATCGAAAGAAAGAACAAACAACCTAGGAGCAAAAACGCGAATATCTGAACGTTCGCATTCGCTGTTCGTTCGCTAAGTTAATACCCAGCTTAAGATTCGCCGTTTGCCAATGTACATGTACAGCTGTAGTCCATTTGATGCTACAAATGCTTTGAAGCGTTCTTCTTCTCCTTCTTTCTTCACTGAAAGAAAGGAGAAGAGAAATGCTTTGAAGCATTTGCATTGTTAAGTGGACCACAGCTGTAAACCCTCCACTATTCATGGTTCATTATTTGTTTATTTGCGATTTCGATTCATAAATTTGATTTCGTCTAAAAACTGCTCCGCTAGCAAATCAGCGCGAATTGCGAATGATGAACAGATGAACCACGAATCGTGCATAGTCTGGCGCCACACTGATAAATAAATATGTTAATCCGAAAAAATATTTAATCCGATACGTTCAACTAAATATGTTAGTTAGTTAAGTAAAAACATTAGTTTCTTTTAATCAAGAATTAATTAATTTAACTAATGTTTAGTTAAACTAACTAAAATATTTATTTGAACATATCGGACTAAATATATTTTTTCGGATTAACAAATTTTTTTTCAGTGCAACAGCTTCAAAAAAATTTATATATTAGGGTATTTTGTATTCGTGGCACAAAAATCCTAAGCCGGTTTCGTTACGCGAGCACGTAACTCGAGGTTGAATTCGGGCGAGCGATATCTCTTCCGCATTTAACGTGCTTCTGAGTAATAAATTGTTGCGAACAATGTTTACAGCACCGATTATAATTTTACTATGCGGTCATTCGCGCCTGCGGGCGCGAGAGATAAGACTCGACAAATGCGCGATTATAATAAAATAATGCCGGCCTTAACTTCGCGGCGTGTAATTTATAATAGAATATGTCATGGTCAACATGCACGCGCGCTTTACATGCTACGTCTCTCATATGAATTGTGTACTTAAAAAGAAGATATCGGCTATTTCTTCTGCAATGGCAGTGCGTATAAAATACGAAGTTAAAAATTAAGGACGTTTATTCGCATCTATCATGATGTATGTCGCGTGCTTCGTATCTACAAAGGGAAATTATTACTATACAACTGTAATCGGATATTAGTCAATTAGTCAATGTACGTTGCACAAAAGTCAACGCATTAGGAAAAGGATTGTCTTGGATATTGAAAGCTCTAATGATTTTTGGCACACGTTTAATAACTAGATGTTAGCGAGTTAACATAAAAAAAAACTCTAGAATTTATGTTCAAATATAAAAATCTTTATATATCTCAAAACAAGAGAAAGCAGAAGACATTAAAAGAAAGGCAAATAGATATAAAATTTGATGCAAAGTCCATTGCAAAATAACATAGGGGCATATTTTTTTCGCACGATTATGCATACATGGATCATGTGCCTGTGTATATAATATGTATATGAGTTATTTATGATTTAATTTTAAATTTACATAATCTCTCTTGCCTTATAATCAAAACATAACGGAAGCGTCGCATGCACAATACGCTTACCACTTTATGCTCGTTAATCCATGTTTACAAAGATCGGACGCAATATCGCAATGAATATAATATTTCATATATTTTACAAAATAATAAAGATCTCAACAATAGCCATGGAATATTATCATCCCAATTAGACGCAAAAATTGAAGGCATTGAACATGAAAGTAGGGTCAATCGTTTCTATTGCAACATTTATTTCCGTACTGTACAAAGAACTGCTTAGTAATTAGTCTTTATTCGTAAGCTATTTCGATTGTTACATGCCATGTAGTAAATGCAACATTGTAAAGATAAGAAAGTATAGTAATTTACAGAAGTTTTTGGAAGATATTGATGTAATTCAACAAGGTAGCTG